TCTGGCACTGTTCTCCGACGTCGGAGTCTGAATCAGGACCCCAAAAAGAGACGGGCGAAAATGATCAGATAGCACTCCCGCGGATGATGCCCAGGGTGAGGCTGGCCCTGCGAGCCTTCGCCGCGGGCACCGCGCGCTTCGGGAGGTGGGCCTGGGTGCACTTGTTGGCCTGGGCCACCACCATTGTGTCCGACATCCCCCCCCCCCCCCCCCCTCAAGCACATGCGCCGCCTGCGCCGACGCAAGTCGGTTAGGTAACTGCTTCTTCGCACCAACAAGAGATTGTAACCAGCCTAGCTCAGGACGCTTCATGAGTGCCGTGCTGTCGGGGGGCTGGGCGACAGGAGTCGGGCTTGCCTCCCGGCATCGCTCCTTCTCCTCGTTCCCCCTTGCCGTCGGCGTCCGCAGACTCCAGCAACTTGGAGAGATTGCCCCCGAAGCTGGACTTCATCGCCCGCGCCACGTACTCACTCTACTTGCGAAGTTTCATACCCTCAATCCTGTCCTGCTTGTCCTTGAGGGTCGCCGCGAACTCGGGATCGACCGCCGCGAGCTCTTCACGTAAACATTGAACGTGTTCATCCTGACGCACTGGTGAGCGGGAGCGCACCCGTGGGGAGCCATATCCCCGACTGCCTCTGCCTGGGCCACGGCGACGACCCTCGCTGCGATCGCGGCGGTCGGAACCATCCCTGTCGCAGTAGCCCCGTCGATCGCGATAACCCCGTAGGCCACGGACATCCCGAAAGTCACGAAAGTCTCATGCCCCTCTGTGGGTCAGGGAGTCTCGGCCCTCTCCTCGATCATCACGGTCACGGCGTTCAGGGCTGCATTTGCGGTCACGGTCACGATCGCGGTCACGGTCACGACCTCGGTCGCCGCTGCGATCACGCGGTCTGGGATCGGGAGCGCGATAGTTGAAGGCAAAGCCCGAAGCCTCCTCCCCAGTGTCACGACCGCCGTTCGCCCGCACCCAGGGCTGGCGTTGGCCGCCCCCGCCCATCTCGCGGCAGGGAGGGAAGAACTTGGGCCAGCACCTCACGATCACCCGAGCCTGCTGGCTGGCAACGGACCAGGAACACGCGCGAAGTGCGGCCACTAGGATCGACGCTGGATACCCCAGGACAAACATCTCCAAGATGAGCTCCAGGACCCAAGACATCGCGACCTGGATCGGTAGTGCGAGGCACTGAGCCCGAGCTAAGCGGCCCGTAACTGGAGAGACCACCATGTGGAAGCCCCGAGGTGGTCGTCCTGGCCACGAGAGCAGGTTGGTTTTCGGTCGAGCGTCCACACATCCACTCAGGAGCCACACACGATTTTCATTGTTTGGAAGAATAGATATCATGTTATCCAACAGCCACAGGTCCAGATCCAACCACGCACAGGGAGCCAGGGGGTCCTCAATGTTGGACGCAGGGGGGGGGGGGGAGGGGAGGGGGGGGGGGGGGCTTGACCTGGTATACTTGGGACAGGTAGAGGTAGACACCGCCTGCAGCACACCTTGCTGATCCCTAGTATGTCATCAACATAACAACGTTGCCAAATCTCCACTTTTCCTGATGTCGGTGGTATCTGGAAACCCATACTGCGATACCGGACAAGATCTTTGCACGCTCGAAGTTCAAACCAAGCTAGTAGCATTGGCAAAGCCACCCCTGATAGTACACCACCAATCGGTAAACCTCTCAACTCATAAACATCCCCGCCAATCGTAACCAACGATAACCAGCAGTAAGCTAACATAGTAGAGGCTATATCTGACGTTGATACTTTATAGTAATTAGGTGGTGTCCCTGACCTGAATTTCCTGTTTTACTTTATTTGCCGCGTTTGGCAAGCACTGCATTCGTTCCTAGTCGTTTCGGCATTTCCTTTGCTACCTCACCCCAAGCCTTCCCAATCAACGTGGAACTACACTGCTCACACGCCTGATCTGCACCTGCTACCACAATATATATATGTATATATATATATATATGCACGACATCGGGCCCGAGCACCGTACACATACATCGTCAGACGGGGGTTCTAAATCATGTACAGCACGTGCAATTGCCTTCGAGGCGTCTTTCATGTCAAACACCTCACACAATACTTCACTCGCACGTAAAAGATGGCGGGCGGCACGGCCAATGATCCTGCACCCCGCCGTGCCTGGAGCATTTGCCGAGTTATCAATGCGACGCATGCAACTGTGACCAGGCTTCGCACAGCGCCAAGTACCATCAGGAAGGAAGCACTTGCTCTTGACCGTGGGGAAGACGTAAGGAGGCACTGTTTCTTTAAGAGGGGTGAGGGAGCATTGTCTGGGATCGGAGCCAACTGGGGGGGCCCATGTCGAGCCCACGTCCATAACCAAATCGCTGCATCGCAACGGGAAAGGTCACGACGTACCTGCCAATCCTCATCCAACTCTGCTGTTTGGCGTAGCCATCTGACGATGTCGACACCACCACCCCATCCAAAGTTAGCCACGCTGCTTGTCGTCTGCTATTAATACACTATTGTTTGTTTGATCCAACGTTGCTTTGAGGTCTCGTTCCATCTGCTGCCACTGCCGAGGGGGCGGAGGGGGGCTGCTGCAAGTAACCCAACCCTCGCTGGATCGCAGGCCGCGCAAGTCGAGGTGATTGGGCCCATTCAAGTAGTCCCAACTTCGCACTTCGAAAGGACACTGCAGGAACATGCCACGCCGGAAGCTTCCACGGACCTGGGAGCTGCTTCAAGTCGAGTGGCCCGGAAACAAAATGTGATGCTGTAACCGAGGCTGGCAAACAATCAGCCCGGTATTCCGCGCAGAAACGGCTGGCTGAAACACGAGCACTCCAAACTCTGCGGGCTCGAAAGGAAACGCGAGGAGACTGGCCGTACCACGCGTGGGCGGGTTCGAAACGCATCTTGCGGCACATAGCTTGAACTGAACCATGGACCAAATGCTGCAATCGCCTAGCTTGAAACTCAATGGGTGGCTTCAAGACGGGTCTGCGCGCAGCAGGCAGGCCCGAGCCTTCGAAGTGCTGGTCAATGTGGAATATTGCCATACGCACTCGAGTGAAATTGCACAGGAAGTCGGGGGCCAATTCGGCCGCCTGGAACAGGATCGCCCCCAGCTACATTCTGGAAATGCACACACATACAGGAAGAGGTCGCCACTTGGCGGCTAGTAGAGCAAGAAAAAGACCGAGTCGCTCTGGCGCAAGAATCCAAAGGGGGCCTTCTTCTCCTGTGTTGCGGTATCTTTCTAGGATCTGCAGGGCGCAGAGGGTACTGTATGGGGCAGGCTCTGAAAGGGCCCCAGGATACTTGGCAAGGGTTCCCACGCCATCATGTGGCATTATTTCCAGTAGCGCTGGCGTCGCCGTCGCCCACACAGGAGGTGGAAGCGGACGAGGAGGGGGTCGTCGCCAAGAGAAGGGCGTCGTCGTGGTGGTTTGACATTGGAAGGTACGCATAAGGCCCCAAGACCGCGTCGGAGACTTAGTTGTTCGGACTCGGTCGCATCGGCACGGTTCGCAGACGGTCGAAGCGTCGCATGGCTAAAGTTTCGCAGGGAAAACTCGTTGCTTCAGTCGGGGCCCATAGTATCGGGAGGAAGAACAAGGAGCCTCCAGAGCGTCTGAGTTCTCGATATCGGGGCCGATTCCCTGGTCGCATTCGTGGGTGAAGGAGCGCACGCACATGTTCTTGCATTCGTCCTAATAGCCCAGGCAATGCACCTACCATGAGGGACCACTTTACCAATGTACTGTGATGCGTGACATCCTAAAACATGTACTACTGCTCGATGGGGTTCATAACTGTCCAAATACACTTAGCAAGGCTGTGGGTACGATAGGTTCCGACCAATCATGGACTCCTCTTCTCCATTCTGGTGGTAACATGCGATACACACATCATGCCCACTCCGGCATGGACGGCAAGGATAGAGCACGACGGAGACGACAAATGCCCGGCATGATGAGTATCACACCAATTGAACTCCACAACGCGGCATCCCGAAAGGGACGAACATGCAAGGGTTTGTCACCCACGAACTCACACTGCATGGCAAGGAAGGTAAATATTTATGGACGAACATGTTGACGATCACGACGAGACCACAACCACTGTCGAAGATGGGCGCCTACCTCCCCCATTGCCATTCTCGAAGGTGGACTGGAAAAACTCAGCAGCCTGATGGCGAGCTGCGTCTTGATTCAGCGGCAATGGCATCACGAATCGTAGCTGCTCCAGCTCCTCACTCGTGGTCGGCCCGAGCCTGAACTGGAAGTTGAATATGCAATTCGTCCGTACAGCTCTCTGAACGTGAGACTCGTCAGCCACATGTTGATCGCCTCCTCGTGGCGTTGTGCATCCTCGTGTTGAAGTCGCCTCCACTGTTCTTCTAGCGTCCACAGCATGGGGCCAAGGATCGAGTAGTAGCTGGTCGACGCTTGAGTCATCTTCGCGAACCATACCTCCTTCCCGTTGCTCACGAAGGCCTGGATGATCAGGAACAACGAAGGTTGATCACACACAGACAGCAGCGCCACTGGCATAATACTCGAAATGCACGTCGGGAAAGAGATCGAAGATGGGGAATGTCTGCCTGCTGCACACAAGGGGGATATATGAACGTCCGTCGGTTGCAACTGGACGTGAGCTCTGATGCCCCGTAGCCCGAGGGCCGGCTTGAATCACAATCTGAGAAAGTCCTTTTCTGTGTACACACCAATGCCCGCGACCAATCCCGCCGAGAGCCTGCCACCAGGCAGGCTGGCACCGTACCTTCCGCTGTGAGCGTGCCGTGGGCGGAAGGCACCCTCGAACGAGGGTCTGGTCCGAAACGTTATGGATGGAGGTGGAGACGGACAGGATGAGAAAGACAGCAGATGACTCTCAGATGGGAAAGAGAGAGAGAGAGAGAGAGAAATGGGCGGGCGGGTCAAAGCGGAGAGAGGGAGAGGGAAAGATACAGAGAGAGAGGGAGAAACCAAAGAAGGAGGCACGTGTCTTGCCTCCTGGCACTTGCCACATTGTGGACACACGTCGATGGCAAGTAGCCCTTCGTCGCCCGAGTCGGTGTCGCAGTAGTACCAGTTCCAGCTCTGCACTGGGTAGTAGTACAATAAGGTGTACGTGGTGCAATTGTGCCCTTACGCCGGCCCGAGAGATCACAATACACATACAAACGCACATGCGCACACACGCACACACGCACACACATGTTGTCGCTGCGCCCCCGCGCGCAGCTGCGCAGCAGGGTCAAGCAAAGAAGGAAAGCGGACGCTCGCTCTCTCTCTCTCTCTCTCTCCGTGTATCCTTTCTGTTTGTTGTCTCTCTCTCTCTCTGTCTTTCTCTCTGTCTCTCTCCCACAGATGTACATGTACAAGTTTGCATTGGCGCTCCGCGCCAATCTCCTCGGTCCTTTAGGTCCGGCATGGGAGAGGAAACACAGTACATACAACAAAACCTCATTGCTGCATGTTGCGGCATCGTCGTATGAATGCTAGTCCTTGTCCTTCCCGCCTGCTTCATGCTTCCTCTTGCTTTACCTCAGTCTTGCTTTACCCTGCGAGCACAGACCCATCCTCCCAAGCTCTTCTTACCGAGGCTCCTCCTTGCAGAGCCTCCTGGAGGCCTCCTGGGCGTCGTCAGGGGTCCTCTTGGGGCGTCTTCGGGCCGCCCTGCTTCCAACAGCAGTCTGCCTGAGCGACCGGCTCACGACTTGGAATGCTTCGGGGGGCCTCTTAGGGGCTGCCGTGCGCCGTCATGGGGCTCTCTTCGGGCCGTGCTGGGGCCTTGCTGGATCGTTCTGGGGGCTTGCTTCGGATTCTCTGGAACCTTTTGGATCATTCCTGGGCGATGTGCCAGCCTCTTAGCCGGTCTCGGACGCCCAGAAGACATGAGAACCGAGTATTCAGATAGCCACGCGAAAGCCACCGGTAGGCGATGTGGGTTTGCGTTTCCAGGACCTCTTGGGGGTCTTCTTTGGGTCGTCTTCGAAAATCTGGGGCCGGTCGGAGGTCTCGCTGGGCCGTTCGGTTGCCCTCCTGACCGAGTTTGGAGCCAAGCACGGGCGTCCAGGAGCCACAGAAAGCCTCGCACACACACACACACACACACACACACACACACACGCACACACGCACACACACACACACATACACACGCACACACACACACACACGCACACACACACACACACACACACACACACACACACACACACGCACACACACACACACAGACACACACACACACACACACACACGTCTGGTAACACCTGTATCGAGACATTTCCAGCCCCCTCCAGCTGCTGCCAAAACAAGGCGACCCGACCCGACCGCCACCGCGACAAACAGAAAGGTAGACCTTGTGCCCAAAACGGCAAACAGGCCTCCAATCCGGCTGAGGAGCGGCGGCCGAAACATATGATCGCCGACCGCCCCCCCAGAGCGCGGCCGACGAGATCATCGGGACCCAGCTCGCCAGAACTTTCGCACGCCGTTGCGCAGACCCGTCTGAAGGCAATGCCGGAACCCCGAGCGGCTCAATCCCCGGCCCCCCGAGGAGGGATCCCCAGACAAACTCATGCAGAAGGCTGAACATCTGAACTGTCGAAGAGCAAGCCCCCCGAGACGGTCCGCACTGGCTGGGTCGCGGAGACATCCAAACGCAAATTCTCTCCCAGGAGCCGCAGACAGGCTCGCGGAGATCCGCTGCCAATTCAGCCAAAGACGAACCGTCGGAACGTCACACAAGAATGCCAGCCCAGAAACAGCCGAACTGGATTTGGGAGACCCCATTCAAGCCGAAAGCGGACGTGGCAGAAATCAAACTCGGACCCCCGCCGCCGCCGTTTGCGTGGTTGCGCTGTTTTAAGACCCTCCCTCGCCAATCCAATTGACGAGACGACCGATGACCCCCCCCACCTGGCAACTTTCAGCCCGATCAAACCAGACCTCCCCAGCAGGCACCCTGGACCTCCTGAAGGCAACCCACGCTCCTCTCAGCGCGGCAGCTCGGGGCAGACCCCCTCCCCGAGGCAGCACGAGCAGCCGAAGAGCAGATCACGAGGAGCCGAGATCGATGCACAACGCCGCCGAGCCACGATGAGGGCCATCGGCGCTCGCGCCCGTGGAAACCAGCCTTGAGGAGAACACGCTGGCACCTCTGCGCGCGAGCCAGCCTAAGGTGCCCGCCGGCAGTTGACTCCCACCTCGAGGCGTCACCGAGGCAGTGGGTCAACACCTTGGCAAGATCAAGACAGCGGGGCAAGAAAGAACAGGGCGAGCAGCAGCAGCAGCAGCATGCTGCGCAGAGCGATGAGCAAGAGGAGGACAGAATGGGGAATTGGATGAGCAGTCAAAGAAGGTGGGTCAGGGAGTGAGAACAAACACAGAAAAGAGAGTTGTGGAAGGAGGTTTAAGAAGGAGCGGTACATAGGGAGAAGCAGGATGGGATTATAATTCTGGACCTGAGCTTAAGCCCACGGGCTAGGCCAGATCGGCCATTTCTCGATCATGGCCTGTTGGAGCTTGGCATGGATGCCTGGGCAATCCATCGCCCGATACGGGTTAGCCTCGGCTGTTGGGTGGCCGATTCCGAGATCCCAGACCTTCAGGGAAGCCAGAGCTGCACATACTCCTCATGCCCTACGCACGTGATCAGGAGTAGCTCGCCGAAAAACAGTGAATGCCAACAGAGCGCGCCGTGTCGAAAGCACCGTACGGCCAGCAGCCAACATACCTCAACAGACACGGCCCTCTGGGGCAAGGCGAGGCGACGTGCGCCGACCTGTAGTGCCGAAGGCTTCTGGGCGCTCACGAGGATCGCTATGCTGCTGCCCCCCAAGGCGACCTAAGAACTCGCGACACCGCCCCGAACTCGAAAACCGACGGCGCGGCGAGGAACGAGCCCAGCGGGCACAGGTCGCCAGGGCCCAGGGCGGCGCCTGCACAGTCGTCGCGACCCAAAACAAACGAGAGGCAACGGCCGTCGGCACGGCCCCGCGGCCTCGCCCCGGCAGCGCCAGGAGGCCCCCCGGCCTCGCGAACGGCCCGAAACGCATCACAGACGATGCGATCAGCTCGTGTGGTTCTCTTGGCCCCCGCTACTCTGCATGGCGTCCTGGCTCCAGCACGCTCGGTGCTCGCAGCACGTGCATGGCTTTCCTGCGCTGATCGCCCGTGCTCAACGCGGGGTGCTGTGGCGACTGCCGGGGCGCAGTTCGCAGGGGCTGGCCGGGCCCACGGTTGTCGACAACTTGACCTCTGGACGGGACGCGATCGCCCCTTGCCCCCCCCCGCACAGAGGGTGGGGCGCTCTGCCCAAACGTGTGTGTGTGTGTGTGTGTCTGTGTGTGTGCGTGTGTGCGTGTGTGTGTGTGTGTCTGTGTGTGTGTTTCACCGCCAGCGCAGTCACTCTGCCTAACCGCCGACGAAAAAAAGTACGTGTGTTTGTGCTTGTGTGTGCGTGTGGTCCCGGAGGCTGTTCGAGGACCTCCACCCCTCGACCGAGGACAGGCATGCTGCGACCAAAAGTGGCCTTCGACTTGGGGTCCTTGCCTGCCTTGAGCAGGGCAAGGGACTTCACACCACGTTTACTCCAAAGGCGCATCGGGTGCACATCCTTTGGGACACGACCGCGGGGCACCCGAAATGCTGCGAACTGACGACGCCACGCAACCCTCCCGGAAGACCCCAGAACCATCCAGGGCACAAAGGGAGGCGAGCAGACGCCGCGAGTCGGTGGACCCCAGTGCAAAGGAAGGCGGCGAGACCTCCTCCGGACCTCGACCTATGGTAGGACGGGGGACCGCCGAGCGACATCGCTAGCACCCAACATAACCGATTCCTTTCGGGGGGGGCGCGAAGTCTCAGGAAACTTCGGGAATATGTCAGGGATCCTGCAGGACTCTCCGGGTATCCTTCAGGACCATGTTGGAAGCCTACAGAAACTTCAGAAGTCCTCAGGACAAGAATCCTTGAGGAATCTTGCAGGCCTCTCAGCGGAACCCCCACTTCCAAGAGTCGGCAACAAACGTGAACGAATCTTCAAGAATCCGTCGGAAACCCTACAGGAGTGCCCAAGAATCTTCTGGAATCTTGAGTATCCGCTGAGATCCTTCAAGACTCAGGCAGGAATCCGCAGGAATCCAAAAGAATCCTTCAAGACTCCTGAGAAATCTTCAAGAGTCTTTGCAGCCGTGGGACAGTCTAGAGATACCGCACCTCCATCCATGCTCGAACCTCTATCCTCGATCCTGAGACTCCCAAAACTCTCTTTTCACGCTGAACTACCCCGTCAGCGTCCCGACGTGGAGCGTTGGGAGAAGGTGTGCTAAGTATGTCAGGCTGACCCACCAAGCTACGCATCCAGAATCATGATGGACTGCGGGCACCGCAAAACCAGGGCGCGATGAGGCGTGGTTTGGCCGCGCTTGCGCTGCTGCTTCTGCTTCTGCTTTCCTCCTTTCTCCTCTTCCCTCCCCTGCTCCTGCCCTCCTCATCTCCTTAGCCACGGGGCGACCTCTCGCGCAGGTAAAAATTACACCCAAGAAAAATCCTAAACAGTGGATGGTTTCGCTGAGGAAATCGACCGGGAACCCGGGAGCCCGAGAACCCAAAACCCACCGAAATCGGCCCGGAACCAAGAACCGGGAACCCGGGAACCCCGAACCAGGAACCCGGGAACCCAGCCTGTTACCAAAATCGGCGGGAAGCTTTCCCCAAATCTTTCAACTTCCGCTGGGACCCCTTCAGCGCAGGCACCGATTGGGGAAACATGCATCCGGGGTTCAGGCCTCTCGCTGAACTCCCTGCTCGGGCTCCCTGGCAACTCCCCTCGGAGTTCGGCCCCGGCGGCCTCGCGCCGACGGCGCGACGGCCAGCGCCTGGAACTTCTTGTCTGCAGCCCCTGGGCCGAAGGCGATGCGTGGTGCATGCTCTCCTGAGGGATGTGAATTCTCGGGGACGTTCGGGAATCGTTCGGGGATCCGCAGGCACCCTCAGGAATCCTTCGAGAATCCTGCAAGGGTCTTCAGGTGTCTCTTTCAGGTGTGGACAAAATGCATCAGGAACCCTTCAGGAGTCAATCTGCGTTCCTCGAAATCTGCAAAAATCCACAGCAGGAGCTCTCGTTAATCCTCAGGCACCCCCATGAATTCTCAAGGAGCTGCCAGAAAACTTCCAAGAATCTTCACAAAGGCGTCAGGAAACAGCCAGGAATCCTCAGCAATCCATGAGGCAGCCTGCAGAGATCTGAATATGCAGGAACCTTTCAGGAATCGATAGGAGACCCCAGGAATCCTTCAGGGATCATGCTGCGCTCTGTGATCGGGGGGTGGCGCTGTGATCGGCGGGTCGCACCCTGCTTCTGCTCCTGCTCCTCCTCCTACTTCCTCCTCCCCCACCCCACTTCCCGTCCCCCCGTCTCCCCGCCCACTACGTCAGAGGTCGCCAAAGGTGCCCCTGGCCCCAAATGCCCGAACTTTTCGCTCGACCATGCGCTGCGAGGCACCCGTGGCCCCACGAGGGGTGCTCCAGAGGCCGTGGGAGCCTCCCTCCTTGGGGATCCTGGGGGAAACCTGGGGCCAGGGGCACTAATGGCAACACCCTCCTTACCACTCGCCATCGCTCGGACGTCCATTGACCGTGCGTTGTTGCGGCTTCGTGCGCTTATGTTTCAAAGGTAAGCCAACATGCTCCTCGATGCTCCTCGCAGAGAGAAAATGTACACGTCCAAGCGATACCAAGGTCCTGACGTCCTGGACCCCGGGACCTCCCCACAGGACCAGCTCTCCGTCCGGAGCCGTTGTCTGACGGCCCAAGGGGCCCTGGCTGGGAGGGCCCCGGAGCGCAAAAGATGCCGAAACAATCTCCTCTCCCTCGCTCGGACGTCCATTTCCCCTGCACTGTTCGGTCTCCTGCGTGTTTTTCTCGCTCGATGATCCAGGATGTCCCTCGACGGTACTCACTGGGAATATGCACACGTCCGAGCGATGCCAAGCCTCAGGACCCATTTCCCTTTGGACCCATTTCCTGTTTTTCATAAAAACATCACTGGCAACCCTACCACATCGCGATGCAACACGTCGCTAGGCAAACCAAAAATACAGCACAAACCGACCGACAAGATGGGCACACTTATATGCTGTGAACAATGGCCTGGGTAACACATCGGCAATGCGGTTGCACTGCATGCGTACGTAGGTGGCCACATGTGAACCCAACCCCCCGCCCCCCACAACTTTTGAGGGGGGGTGAGGGCAGGGTTAGAGAAACAAACAAAACACATAGACATACACTTTTAGAGGTCCGCGCGGAATGTCTGGATGCGCGCCGGATCCCCCTCCCCAGCGCACGGAGCGCACAAGGGGCGGCGCTGGAAGCGCCGCCAGGGCGCTCCAGCGCAGAACCAAGAAAACCGCGCGGAGCGTCGAAAGGGCTCACATGTGGCCACACATGTCCGAGGCGCGAATGTATCCGTAACCACCGCCTAGGGGGTCGACCTTCGCGGACCTCCACAGGCGGTGGATACTGATACATTTGGGCCCCCAGGGGGCCAGAATACGTCCATATCCGCCGCCCGCCAGGGCACCGGGACGTCGGTTCCCAGGCGGTGGATATGAAGAAATTCCCGCCTCGCACGGTGTGCACCCGCCCCACCGTGCACCGCTGGACCCGCTGCCACCTCGGCGAACGCCCGGCCCCGCCCGCACGGCCGAGAGGCCTGGGCGGAGCCGCCCGCCGACCGCTGGCCGCCGGCCGCGATCGCAGCGGCCCGCTGAGGACGGCCGCGTCGGGCGACGGGGCCGAGGAGGGCGGTGTCGGCGTCGGGGCCGCCGTCGGCGAGGCTGCGGGGGGCGCGCGCGCGCGCGCTGGAACGCGCGGGGGGGGCAAGGAGAACGGGGAGCAGCAGGGACCAGCGACGATGCCAGTCCTGCTCGGGCTTTACACCTCGTGGTCCCGCTGGGCCTCCCCGACTCGGTCGAGCACAGTCGGGGTGAAGCCTTGACGAATTCGCAACAGGAGAGAGAAGGGATCAAAAGGAGGAGGGGAGGATAGCTGGAGGAGAAAGGAATGGACGGGAGGATAGCTGGAGGAGAAAGGAATAGGTGGAGGGAAAAGGGCTGGAAGAGGAGAGGGAAACGGGCAGAGAAGACAAACAAACAAACTGTGAGACAGGAGAGAAGGGGAGGGGGAGAGGGCGCAGGGG